AGGATTGTTCGCTGCCTGATGCTAATAGCTAGCTGCTGCTGCTAATAGCTAGCTGCTGTTGCTGATGCTATAAATTGTCTGCTGCTGCTAGCAACTACTAGCTGCTGCTGCAGATAGCTAGTTGCTGCAGCTGTTCATCTCTAGCTGCTGATTCTGCTAGCTAGCCACCAGCTAGCTAGCTAGCCAGCTACCTAGCTAGCTAGCTAGCTAGCTACACAGGCTGAGGCTGGTGAGTAATGGTGTGTTTGCTTTCAGTACACGTGCAAGCTTCCCTACCCCGTCTACGCCTCTCTCTACATGGGCTCCAGCCAAGGCAAGCCAAACCCTAAACCCTAAACCCTAAACCCTCAGCCCTAAACCCTAAACCCTCAGCCCTAAACCCTAAACCCTAAACCCTAGAAATTAGAGGAAAATTGATTGAAAGTTTCAAATGATATTCTTCTCGCAGTATGGGAGGTGGTGAAGGCGACCAGCAACATGTGCAGGTTCGTCGCCACAACAAACCCTAAACCCTAAACCCTAAACCCTAAACCCTAAACCCTAAATTCACCGCCTCCCAGGCTGTACGGCGATCCTGGACTCGGAAGCGTTGTACAGTAACTGCGCCATTGTCATCTAGCTAGCTATACAGCTAGCTAGCTAGCTATGTAACTGGCTAGCTAGCTAGCTAGCTAGCTAGCTAGCTAGCTTTATAGCTAGCAGCCAATTTGGCTTGCTAAGCTGAGCCGGCGGGGAGGTACTCCTCTCTCCGCTAGCTCCCCGTCCCCCGCCGTCTACCTAGCTGGCTAGCTAGCTAGCTAGCTAGCTAGCTAGGTAGCTGCGGCGTGGGTGAGCATTGAACTGCCGGCTATCCCCCCGAACCAACAAACAAACAAATAAAGGAGGGAAAGAACAACAGAAAACTGCAACCGCATCGAACTGCTGCTGCTGCTGCTGCTGCTGCTGTGTGTTGCTGTTGATGAATCTCTAGTGCAGCAGCAGAAGTGAGAATGCATGCACCGCAACAACCCTCATCAGCAGCAGCAACTGCTGCTGCTAACGACAACAAAAGCAAGACTAATACTCCAACGAAGCAACACCAGCACCATCAGCAGCAGACCAGAGAAAAAGAAAAAAAAAAAAAAAAAAAAAAAAAAAAAAAAAAAAAAAAAAAAAAAAAAAA